CCGGAGCGGCGGCTCCCGGGGGTCCCGCAGCCACGAGGGGCCGGGAGCGGAGGGGAGGGGGTCCCGCGGCGGGGGGGCCGGGGGTCCCGGCCATGAAGAGGATGTTCTCCTGCTCCAGCTCGCAGGTGACGGTGAGTCCCGCCTGGGAACGGGGGCCGGTGGCGGCTGCCAGCCCCGGTGCCAGCCCCGGTGCCAGCCCCGGTGCCACGGCCACCCCAATCCCGGTGCCAGCCCCGGTGCCAGCCCCGTCCCGGTGCCAGCCTGATCCCAGCCCGCTGCCGGCTGTGACCGCCCCCAGTGCCAGCCCCGCTGCTGCCCCAGTCCCGACCCCGCTCCAGCTGCGACGATCCCAGAGAAATTCCACTCCCAGCCCCGGTTCCGGTCCCGATCCTGGCTCAAATCCCTGTCCCAGCCCCGATTCCCAATCCCAGCCCCAATCCCAATCCCAAACCCTGTCCCAGCCCTGATTCTGGTCCCGATCCTGGCTGCAATCCCTGTCCCAGCCCCAATCCCAATTCTGATCCCGGCCCCAATCCCTGTCCCTGTCCCAGCCCCAATCCCTGTCCCAGTCCCAATCCCAGCCCCATTCCCAGCCTCCACCCCAATCCCAGCCCCAGTCCTGACCCGAATCCAGCCCCCAGCCCATCCCCGCTCCCAGTCCCAGTTCCCGTTCCCAGACCTGGTCTCGGTTCCCGGTGCCGGTGCCGGTGCCGGTGCCGCCCCTCGCGGTGCCACGCTGGAGCCCAGCCCGGCTCGGTGGCACTCGCCAAACCAGCCGGGCGGGCACAGGCCGGGACACGCCGCGGCCTCTCCGCCCCTCCCGGCTCCGCGGGGACCCGCGCGGCGGGGAAACTGAGGCACGGCAAGCGCGGGGGGACCCGCACCGGGGGGGTCCCGTCCTGGATTCGGGGTCCCGCAGGTGGAGAGCTGGACGCGGTCCCGCACCGGCGGGGTCCCGTCCCGGGGCGGGCTCTGGGGTCCCGTCCTGGATTCGGGGTCCCGCAGGTGGAGAGCTGGACGCGGCAGGACCAGAAGCTGCTGGAGGCGGTGACACGCGGGGACGTGGCCCGGGTGGCCGCCCTGGCAGCCCGCAAGGCCGCCCGCCCCGCCAAGCTCAACGCCAGGGGACAGTCCGCGTATGTCACCCCCGGGGGGACACTGGGGCGCTCGGGGGGGGGCACAGGGGTCACGGCCACCTCTCCCCCCACCCCAGGCTCCACCTGGCCGCGGGCGGGGGTCTCACCGAGTGCCTGACGCTGCTGCTGGAGCACGGGGCTCCCGTCAACGGGACCAACGATGACGGTAGGTGGGGACAGCTGGGGACACCTTGGGGACACCTTGGGGACTGCCAGGCAGGTCCCGGTGTCACCTGTGGAGGAGCTCAGACCTGCAGCCCAAGGCAGGGAGCCCCGGGAGCACCCTGGGGGTGTCCCCTGAGGGACGGGGTTGTCCCCTGGGGGTGTCCCCTGCGGGATGGGGGTGTCCCCTGGGGGTGTCCCCTGAGGGACGGGGGTGTCCCCTGGGGGTGTCCCCTGAGGGACGGGGGTGTCCCTTAGGGCAGCAGTTGTCCCCCGGGAGTGTCCCCAGAGCCCCTCCTGTCCCCACAGGCAGCACCGCCCTGCACTTGGCCACCATCGCCTGCCAGCCCCAGTGTGTGAAGGTGCTGCTGCAGGTGGGAGAGGGACGGGAACGGGGTGGGATGGGATGGGATGGGATGGGATGGGATGGGATGGGATGGGATGGGATGGGGTGGGGTGGGATGGGAGGGGAGGGGGGATGGGATGGGATGGGATGGGATGGGATGGGAATGGGAATGGGAATGGGAATGGGATGGGAACGGGAATTGGAGTGGGATGGGATGGGAGTAGGATGAGAATGGGAATGAGATAAGAGAGGGATGGGAATGGGAGTGGGAACAGGGTGGGAATGGGAATGGGATGGGATTGGATTGGAACAGGAACTGGAATGGGATGGAAGTGGGATGGGAATGGGAACTAGAATGGGATGGAAACGGGAATTGCATTGGGATGGAGCTGGGGGTGAAAACAGGCATGGAGACCAGGATAGAGCCAGGGATGGGATGGGGATGCAGAGGAGGATGAGGATGGAGGTGGGATGGACACAGGGACAGGAATGAGGATGGGAGCAGGGCTGGGATGGAGCAGGGCCGTTCCCATTCCCATTCCCATTCCCCCCAGCACGGAGCCAACGAGCGCCACGTGGACGGGCAGAACCGGACTCCGCTGCACTGGGCTGGTGAGGAGGGGACACGGGGACACCCCGGGACTTGTGGGGGACACCAGAGGGGTCCCCCAGAGGCCCTGCAGTGACACCAGCCCCCCGCAGCCTCCTCGGGCTGCGCCTCCAGCGTCCTCCTGCTCTGTGACCACGAGGCCCCTCTGGATGTCCCCGACGCTGTGAGTGGGGACAGGGGGACAGCAGGGGGGGACAGGGGACAGCACGGGTTGGTGCTCACCCCAGGTGTCCCCCCAGCACGGCCAGACGCCCCTGATGCTGGCAGCACAGCGGAACCACGTGGCTGTTTGTGCCCAGCTCCTGCGGCGCGGGGCCCAGCCCGGGCTGGCCGACAGGGATGGCAGGTGGGTGACAGGGGACACTGGGGACACTGGGGTGTCCCCAAGGGTGTCACCGCTGCGGGGAGGGGATGGGGGTCACCTGTGCCACTGTGTCACGGTGCCATCAGTGTCACTGTGCCCCTGTGCCACCCACTGCCACCGTTCTCTGTCCCCGTGTCACATCCCCATGTCCCTCCGTGTCACATCCCCCTGTCCCTCCATGTCACGTCCCCGTGTCCCTCCGTGCCACGTCCCCCTGTCCCTCCATGTCACATCTCCATGTCCCTCCGTGTCACATCTCCATGTCCCTCCGTGTCACATCCCGGCTCAGGACAGCGCTGGAGCTGGCCCTGGCTCACGGCAGCCTGGAAGTGGCCGAGCTGCTGCAGGGCCACAAGAGGGACAAGGACACTGGGAATGTCACCGGGAATGTCACCGGGAGTGTCACCGGGAGTGTCACCGGGAGTGTCACCGGGAGTGTCACCGGGGACGCCCCGAGCTGGGCTCTGCAGAAGCTCCCAGACTGCGGGAGGAGAGGTGAGACCTCCTGGAGCCCCCCAGAAAAAGGGGAAAAAATGGGGGGAAACGGGAAAGCAACTGGGGAAAATTGGGAAAAATTGGTAAAAATTGGGAAAAATTGATTGTGTTTTTCCTTCCTGCAGAGAATGGCGCTGGACAGGTGGGAATCCAGGGCGAGGAAGAGGAGGAGGAAGATGAGGAGCAGCGGGACGGGCGCGCTGCCCGGTGGCTGCGGGAGGAGCTGGCGAGGAAGACTCTGGAATGCCGGCGGCTGGAGGAAGCTGCCGGGGGCATCCGGCGGCGGCTGCGGGAGCTCCTGCGGCTCCTGCCGGGACGGGACGCGGCTGAGGATGAGGAGGGTGAGGAGGATGACTGCGCCTGCCTGGAGCTCCTGGCCCGGCGCGTGGCGGAGCTGAGGAAGAGGACGAGGGATGAAGAGTGGCAAGGAGGACAAGGCAGCGGCGAGGCCCCGGCGCTGCTCCCGTTCCTGGCCTGGCTGGCAGAGGAGTGCTCCAAGATGCGGGAAGCCTTCTCCCGGAGCCAGGAGCTGCGTGGGGAAGCCGAGAATTCCCCCCGGGAGCCGCCTTGGGAGCAGCTGGCGGCGGGGCTGGAGCAGGCGCTGGAGCAGCAGGACCAGATCCACGCCAGGATGCTCCGGGAATCCCAAACCCTGCTGGAACAGCTCCGCCGGGAGCCGGTGAACGGCACGGAGCCGGCTGCGGGCGGGAAGAACCGGGAGGAGACGCCGGGAGAGCGCGGGAGGATGGAGAGGGAGCTGCTGGAGCTGCGGGAGGGCAACGGGAAGCTCCTGGTGGAGCTGGCGCGGCTGGGCCGGGAGCGGGAGCGGCTGCAGCGGGAGCTGCGGGAGCTGCGGGATCCCGGCGAGCGGGACGAGGCGCGGCGGCTGCGCCGGGAGCTGCGGGCGCTGCGGGACGGGCTGGGAGCCAAGGTGCGGGAGGCGGGCGGCGACGCCGGGGCCGCGATTCTGCGGGATTTGCAGCGGCGGCTGGACGCGCTGGTGCGCTCGCAGCACGAGGCCCTGCAGCTCCTCACGGAGATGGAGGGGGAGCCCGGAGAAACGCCCGGGAGCGACGGCGAGGGCGACACGCCGGCAGAACCGGGAGCCGGGGGCCCGCCGGGCTCGGAGGCGGAGCGGTGGCGGGAGGCGGCGGCGGCGGCCGAGGAGAGGGCGGCCGGGAGGGAGCGGGAGCTGCGGGAGCTGCGGGAGACGGCGGAGGGGCTGGAGCGCAGCCGGGCAGCGCTGCGGGAACGCGCGGCCCGGCTGGAGCGCGCCTGCCGCGACAAGGACGGGAAGGTGAGGGACGGGGAGGGGACCTCCCCAGAACCATCCCACCGATGCCATCATCATCCTCTGCCGTCCTTGTGCCCATTGCTGAACCCTTCCCGTCATCATCCTCTGGCGTCCTTGTCCCCACTGCCGACCCCTTCTCATCTTCCTCTTTTTCCCATCCTTGTCCCCATTGCCGACCCTTTCCCATCTTCCTCCCATATCCATCCCCATGTCCTTCCCATCACCATCCCCTTCCCAGTCCTCTTTCCGTCATCATCATCATCATCATCGCTTTCTCACCATTCTTCCCATCACCATCTGCATCCCCATCCCCTTCCCATCCCATCCCATTGATCCCATCCCATCCCATCCCATCCCACCTTTCTCACCGTTCTTCCCATCACCATCACCATCTGCATCCCCATCCCATCCCATCCCATCCCATCCCATCCCATCCCATCCCATCCCATCCCATCCCATCCCATTCCCCTCCTGTTCCCCCTCCCAGCCCCATTTGGGGTCACCTCGGGGGGAGCTCAGCAGGACCCTGGGGGCTGACAGGGACCAAGGGGGGCTCTGGGGGGGCTGAGAGCCACCACCCCCCCTCCAGTGCCCCAAATCCCCCCCTGCCTTTGCCCCCCCAGCTGAAGCAGCTGCTGGTGGAGACGGAGAAACTCTCGGCCGAGGTGTTGGGGCTGCGGGGCCGCAGCGCCCGGCTGCAGCTCCAGCTGGAGGTGAGGACAGCGCCCGGTGTCACACCGTGTCACCTCTGTCACCCTGAGCCACCCAGCGCCACCCTGTGCCCCCCCAGGTGCAGCAGAAGCAGCACCGGGACACCGTGGCCGTGTACCGCAGCCACCTCCTCCACGCTGCCCAGGTGGGACCCCCGGCCCGCCCGGGCCCTCTGGGGGGGTGGGGGCACAGTTTTGGGTGGGATCCCGGGAAAAGCCGCTCTCCCTCCCCCGCAGGGATTCATGGACCAGGGCGTCCACGCCGCGCTGCTGCGGATCCTGCGCGCCGAGGCGGGAGCAGGGCTGTGGCATTAAACCGGGACACTGCCACACACGTGTCCTGTTCTGTGTCCTGCTCTGTGTCCTGTTCCGTGTCCCGTTCCATGTCCTATTCCCCATTCTGTGTCCCATCCCATGTCCCCATTCTGTGTCCCATCCCATGTCCCGCTTGGTGTCCCCATTCCATGTCCTATTCCGTGTCCCCTCCCAGTTCCATGTCCCCATTCTGTGTCCCATCCCATGTCCCGCTTGGTGTCCCCATTCCATGTCCTATTCCGTGTCCCCCTCCCATGTCCTCATCCCATGTTCCCATCCCGTGTCCCCATTCCATGTCCTCCTATTCTGTGTCCTTAGCCCGTGTCCCATCCCATGTCCCCATCCCAACAGCCCGCGGAAGGGGCTGCACCCTGCTCCACTCCCCTGCAATCCACCCGAAACCACACAAAGCCACTCCTGGGGTCTCCACGTCCCCACTCCAGCACGGGCTGGGATCCCACTGAAGTTTATTCCCATTGAAGTTTATTCCCACTGGGATCCCGCTGAAGTTCATTCCCACTATAGTTCATTCCCACTGGAAGTTTATTCCCCTGAAGTTCATTCCCACTGAAGTTTATTCCCACTGGAAGTTTATTCCTGCTGGGATCCCACTAAAGTTTATTCCCACTGGATATTTATTCCTGCTGAAGTTTTTTCCCCTGAAGTTTATTCCCCTGAAGTTTTTTCCCCTGAAGTTTATTCCCCTGCAGTTCATCCCCCCTGAAGTTTGTCCCCGCCGCCCCCGGCCCAGCCCCCTCGCCGCCTCCCCAGCGCGAATTTGGTGCCGGTGCTGACGCGCTCCAGGTCGGGGCCGCGGGCCGGGGCCCGGCGCAGGAGGATCCCGGTGGGAATGCGGGAGCTGCGGAGGCCGCCGGCGCTCAGCTCCGTGATCCTGGGGCAGGGAGCGGCTCAGGGACGGGGCCACAGCCCCGGGGGTCCCAGCCCCGTGTCACTGTCCCCACGGGGCAGGGGGCTCACCCCACGGTGGCGGGCAGCTCTCCGGGGAATGATCCCGGTCCCGATCCCGATCCCGATCCCGGTCCTGGTTCTGGTTCTGATCCCGGTCCCGGTCCCTCGGCCCCGTCCTCGGTGGCCGCGATGGCCTCCAGGACCCGCGGCTCCAGCCAGGCCACGGCGCTGACCTCACACGGGCTCGGACACAGCCGGGCCTGGGTACGGACCCCCCGTGGAGGGAGGGAGAGACCCCCACGGTGGGGGGGACCCCAACCTCCACAGGGACCCCCACCCACGGAGGGACCCCAGCCCCGGGAGGGGAGGAACAGTCTGGCCTTGGGGGGACCCCCACCCTCGGAGAGACCCTCAGAGAGGGAATGCAACGCCAAGAGGGGACCCCCACCCATGGAGGGACCCCCTCAAGAGGTGCCCCCCACCATGGAGATGCCCCCCACCCATGGAAGGACCCCACCTATAGAGGTGCCCCCTACCCATGGAGGGACCCCCACAGAGGTTGCCCCCACCCATGGAGATGCCCCCCACCCCTGGAGGGACCCCACCCATGAAGGGACCCCCTTGAAGGTGCCCCCCACCCATGCAGGGACCCCACCTATGGAGGTGCCCACCACCCACAGAGGGACCCCATCCATGAAGAGACCCCCTCGAAGGTGCCCCCCACCCATGGAGGGACCCTCACAGGATGTGCCCCCAACCCATGGAGGTGCCCCCCACCCATGCAGGGACCCCAACCCTCAGGGACACCTTGGAGGTGCCCCCCACCCATGGAGATGACCACCACCCACGGAGGGACCCCACCCATGGAGGGACCCCCCCCAGAGGTGCCGGTGCCCCCCACCTGCAGCTGCTGCCGGGGCTCGGCGGAGCGCAGCCCCAGGTAGGTGACAATGTGGTGACAGCGCGGTGGCCCCCAGCTCAGCGAGGGGGGGAACAGGGACTGCGGGGGGGCAGGGGTGACCCGTGGGGCACCCGCGGCTGTCCCCCCCTGCCCGGCCCCGGTTTGGGGGGGGTCGTTACCTCCCAGAGGCCGAGCAGGCGCCAGGAGAAGGTGCCGGGCTCCAGGCGCAGCCCCGTCTCCTCGGCCAGCTCCCGCAGCCCTGCGGCCACCAGCTGGGGGTCGGGGGGGGTCAGGGGACACCCGTGTCCCCGCACCCCCCCGGGCACCCCCTGCCCTCCCGCGGGGTCACCTCACCTCCTCTCCCGGCTCCAAGTGCCCGCCTGTGCGGGGGGACAGCAGTCAGGGGACCCCGAAGCCGCTGTCCCCCCCCGAGCGGGGGGTCCCCAGCGCTGCTGTCCCCCGTCCCCGCGCTCACCCGGTGGCACCCAGACGTTGGGGAAGTGGCGCAGAGTGGCGGCGCGGCGGGTCAGCAGGACGTGGCCGCAGGTGGCCTCCAGCAGCACGGCCACCGCTGCGGCCACCCCCGGCTGTCCCCCCCGGCCGCCCGGCGTGTCACCCCCCAGCTTGGCGGGGCAGAAGGGGGGTCTCTGCGGGGACAGGGGATGTCAGGGGGGCGGTGACACTGGGGGGGGACGCGGTGACACCGGGGGTGGTGGCGGCCCCGCGCACCTTGAGCACGGTGGCGGCGGAGCCGGGGAAGGGCACATCGGAGATGAGGAAGCGGCCGCGCTGCAGCCCGCAGCTCACCGGGGCCCAGTCGGCGTGCGGGGGGCAGAAGGCGCCGGTGACACTCTGCGGGGACACCGCGCGCGCTGTCACCGCGGGGCCGCCGCGGGGCCGCGACCGCGCCCTGCAGGAGGTGACGGGAAAGGCCCCGCCCACGGGATGTCACCGGGGGTTGGGGACAGTTCTGGGTCCCCCGTGTCCCGTGTGCGTCCCCGTGTGTCCCCTGTGTGTCCTGTGCGTGCCCCCTGTCCCCTGTGTGTCCCCAATGTGTCCCCTGTGTGTGTCCCACCATGTCTTGTGCGTGTCCCCCCGTGTGTCGTGTGTGTGTCCCCGTGTGTCCCCTGTGTGTCCCCTGTCCCCCGTGTGTGTCCGCGTGTGTCCCCCGTGTGTCCCCCTATCCCCTGTATATGTCCCCATGTGTCCTGCATGTGTCCCCTGTCCCCTGTGTGTGTCCCTAATGTGTCCCCTGTGTCCTGTGTGTGTCCCCCCATGTCTTGCGTATGTCCCCCTGTCCCCTGTGTGTCCCCCGTGTGTCCTGTCTGTGTCCCCTGTGTGTCCCCCGTGTGCTACGTGCCCACGACCTCCCCGTCCCCCCCCCGGCGACACTGCCACCTGCCGCGGGCGCTGCCACCCCTCGGGGACCCCACCGGCACCCCGCCGTCCCAACCCCGGCATGTCCCCAGAGTCCCCTTGGAGCAGCCAGGGTGACACCTGGGGACCGCGCTGGGCCAGCTCGGCGCCCCCAGCACGCCCCAGTAACTCCCAGTACATCCCAGTAGCTCTGGTGGCTACCGGGGCGAGGCGAGTGGCCACACGCGGGTGGCAGGTGACACCTCTGGGGACAGAGGGGGACACACCGAGGCGTGCCTGGGGGGGGGGTCTCACGCTCGGGAGCGCGCACGGAAGGGGGGGGCGGGGGCGTCCCCGCCGTGCCCGCGCACACGCGCGTGCAAAACCCCCCCCGGCCGTTAATGAGGATGAGCTCATTAACGGGGATTAACGCCTATCTATAGCGGGGCGGCGGGGGCAGCCCCGGGCCCGCGGCGGGGGCTGCGGGGGTCCCCGGTGCCGCCCCCGGCCCCGCTCCGGCCGCTGCCCGGTCCCGGCCCGTTCCGGGAGATCGG